TTTTATACCTCTTACACCCAAACCCTTACTACAGTGAAGATATGAGTAGTACAGTTAAAATTGATGGTCATTATTAAACAAAAATGGTTCATTGACTCATAGTTGAAGAAGGAAATAAAAAAAATTAATAAATGTGGTCTGTGGAGTGGTTTATTTGTTTATGTTATAGTGTACACGTGCGCGCGCGCTTGCGCGTACTTAACCATCTGTAGGCCAACATATTTAGTCTATGCTTAAATTCTTTATATATTATGTCACCACTATGGTGCCCAATACTTTTAGTGAAGGTCTGATGTAGAACAGTTAACCACCAACTGTGGTATATCAAAAAAACCATGTTTGTACGCGCGCTTGCGCGTACTTAACCACCTGGTATGGCACAGCATTGAAATATCACTATAATTTCAGAGGCAGAGGACACCATCCAGGTGCCCAAAACTTTTGGCTATGGTCCCAATACCATAAAACCTTAGATGTGGCCTCAATGTGGTTAAAACATGTTTATTTTGGACTTTCGGTCAACAGAAGCCATCACAAATTAACCATTATTCAGCAACCTCCGAACTTTTTGTGCCTTATTTTGTTTTGATATTTGATTATGAGAGATAGCTGAAGGATAATAAGTGATTTTAAAGATAATGCAACAGAATGTGTGGCCGTATGGCGGTTAAAACGACCAAAAACACTGATTTAGGTCAATTTTAGACCTTTATTAACCATGCTGGACGCAACAAAGGACTCAGCAATGTTTTTGTGCACATAGATGAGCTGGTAGTTATATCTAGATAATGCAGCATGGCCAGCTATAGCTTTACAAAGCTAATATGTGCTCTAAAAATGGTTAATTAGAGCAAATATAGGGTATTTTCGAGACATTTTAACCACCATAGCTGCACATTGATCATAATGCATGAACTTGGGGTCAATTATGGATTTGCAAACAATTATACACTCAATTGGATAGCAAACCATTATCCGAACTTCATATTGTGGTTAATTTTCACTTTAATAGATGCCTTGTTCAACAGCCTAGCAAGTCATATAGCCCTTTTAACCACTTTTATGACAACATTTCTTAATAACTTTTATCAAAACCCTTCAAATGTCCTTTGTTGACCAGAAAAAGTTGACTAAAAGCATAAATATTGTTTTGATTGGTGGTTAACAAAATATTTTGACGTTTTAACCATCTTTTTAGCACTTTTTACGAATATTAACCACCTAAAATTAACCATACTATTAAATTGCACATTTGTGATGAAAAATTATCATCCATGTACAAATGAACAACCACCACTATACATCTATAACCCGAGCAATATTTATTGCTCATCGTTCATCTTCCATTTAACCACCATTAGGACCACAAAATGCCCCCAATGAGGGTTTTAAACTTTTGTAATAGTTGCACCATGGGATGATCTCAATATAATGACTACTCATTTCATAATATCATATCTCAAAATGGTGGTTAACCCTAAAACTGGTATTTTAACCACCATAGTGGCCACATAGAGGATTCATTAACCTCAATTATTCAACATAACTGTACTGCAGTGTTTTGTGCACCAGAAAAACATCACTCCAACATTGAGATTAACCACAATAAGCTGCAATATCATGTTGAAGTCAACATACACAAATTTTGTGAAAAAAGTCAATGTCCACCAAGTTTCCCCAGATTTGCTGCTATTGCTGACCCATAAACAGCAATTCTTGCCCTAACTAGTAGTCCTCACCTTTCATTTCCCGTTTATATTTAATTTTCCTGTTTACATTTCCCGTTGACAACGGGCCGTCGTACAGTTCTCATAATAATTGATTAGAAGTTAGCTTGAGGCCAATGAGTCATGACTGCCGAAACGTCGATTATTTTTGTTTAGTTTTCACCAGTTATTATTTGCCTTATTTTACTTTGTCTGTCGAGAGCCGTTATGCTCCCTACTAAACACTATAATGCATTATAAAATACAAATTACATACTACATAATATTATGCACTTGTCCAATTTCAAAATCTGCTCTGGATATCTTACACATGCACTCAGGATATAATTAATACACTAAACACTTAGCAATTAATATTGAGATAAAATATTGGTACTTATTGGCGTGAACAGAATTATCAATCAATGTAAATACTAAATATTTAATTTAACGAGAATATACAATACCACCAGTATATAAAGAAGATAACTGGTGGTATTGACGATAATAAAGTTAAACAAGTAAGAACCAGTACTGTATAATCGCACCAGTTTAAACAACCCAATGCGAAAGGTGTCTGTTGTAACGCATTATCGAATACAACAAAACACTCTGCATTAACAGTACTACCCATGTACTGGATAATCATTCCAACTATTCTAAATATCATAGCAAAACTCATACATCCTCTTGCTAGTGTTACTGGAATGTAAAATAAATATGCCTCCAAACTGCCTTCTTTCTCCTTAATTAACTTAAAATCATTAAAACCTGACTTTACAATCTTTATAACCGGTAAAATATAAATCAGTGCAGTAACAACGTCCTTTGCTACCAGAAACCAAGGAGGGTTATTTATAATAAATTTATCTACATAAAAGTATTCTAATATTAACTCAGGTGCATCTTCTAACAATAATTTAAGAGATACAGCTAACAATGTATTTAACACCACCCTGTGGTGGTACTCCCTCTCATTCTTGTTATCCTTCACAACACTAAGATAACAGATAGCAACTATTATACTTTTAATAGCACCTAAACATGCAAATCCTAATATACTATTATTAACGTGAGTATTTCTGTAAATTAAGGGATCTATTAACTCACCACGCTCTAGTTTATAAAAATAATACGTGTCAAACAAAACATCCACCATATCCCACAAAATAGCAATTATTGGTAAAATAATAAGTTGTGAAATTAAAAGTTTATGTGCACAACTTAATGGTAAAGTTATACATCCGAGGATCTGCCTACGTATTTTAGATTCTTTAACATCACCTTTTGTTACTTTTATCTCCTTAATACTTATTATCTCTTTCAATAAATTATCTTCTATATCTTCAACGGGTAAAGTAGCTACTTCACCGTTAATATAAAACTTACTGTATTGTTTTAATTCCTTCTTTTTAAGTTCAAACTCACTTAACTCTCCTTTAATCTTCCCATACTGGACACTCCCTAAATGTTTCTTAGCGTACAATAGACTAGTGTTTCTACTGTACGTGTTCTTAATCTCTGTCCAGGGGTTGTTACCTTTTTTAATACTAATAACAAGAAGCAACACAAACATTACCACAGGGAATAGGACAGGTACTATCATAGCAAATATTGTTCCTGTCTCACTCACACGTGGTGTCCACGCAACCGTAACATTGCAGAGCTTGTTGCCACCTACTGTTACACATGTTCCGTTCTTTGTTGTGTTACCTGAGGGGTAAAACAATGCTATTATCAGTTTATTATATTAAACAATAAACTTAATTGTTATTATTTTTTTATTTTTAAAAAATTTTTATTTTTTTTAATTTTTATTTTTTTAAATTTAAAAAATTTTTAATTTAAAATTTGTTTTCATTTTTAAGGATGCCCCTTTCAAAACCAATGGTGCTCGTGGGTGTATTAGTAGGTTAGTATTCAGTATTTGTCGCCCACCAAGTTAAGCTCTAGCATCGCTATTTATTAACCAGTGGCCTCCACTAATTATTATTATTATGTTAACAAGAACGCATTTCTTACTATAAAGAGGGTGACACGTCCATCTGTGTCCGCTTATCTCATAGAATCCAAAAAGGACGGGACAGGACATGGGCGGACAAAAGTTAAATATCTTTAAAACATCCTGTTTTAAAGATATTTTGGGGCACGAAGTGAGATGTCGAGGACTGTTGTACTTGGATACAAGATCTAGACCTATCAGAAATGTAATGGTGGCATTTGGGGGGGGGGGGGGCATCCCCCGATAAAATCTGGGCAAAAAGGGCCAACTTTTTTATTAAGGTTTCTAAATATTGTGGGGAAAAATTGGTCCAGTATATTTACATATTTGATCCTGTGACTCGGACCGAAAATTTTACAAGTCAAATACTTTTTCGGTTTTCCAAGTCTGCACCTACCCTTCCATATACGATATTGGACTCGAGGGTTTCCCCTTGTAATGCGATCTCGGAAGGCAGGCCTCCCCTTTGCAGTACGAGCTCGGAAGCGAGTGCTCTGCCTTCAGAGGTACGTATCGAGAATGACTTTGGCAGAAAATTTTCGAAGTCAATATTTTTTCAAAGTTTTTCTGGAAACTACCTTAGTTCGTATATTTATGGCGGGTAATATTGTGGCAGGTAAAAATAATGACTAGTAAAGATATGGCGGATTTTCCGAAGATCCGCCAAATTTAACCCGCCAATTTTGTACCTGTAACATTACTTTCACAAAATTTTTAAAATCCACAGAATTCTACGTGTCATATTGCAAGATTCTACCCAATTTTCCTTCCATACTGCGTATTTGTTTGCAGTTTCAAAGTAAAATAACATTTAAAATTCATCGCCCAACATGGCATCTAATTCTAACGGTTAAAATGCTCCCCTGGCGAAATATCGTCGAAAATCTGTCTCGATCACGTGATAATTGATATGACCATATAAGAAAGTTGGTCGAATTTTTCGTTCTAGGGTTAGGATTTTAGTATATAATGCTTCAGTTAGGGTTGGGGTCAGAGTAGAGGGTTAAGGTTTCGAATAGTCATTCAGGGCCACCTAGAGAACGTGTTAAAAAGGTACGTGACATTAGAGTGTAAAGTGATTAATCATCATCTCGTTCATTACAACCAAAGTATTTAATTTTTTCGAATAAAACCACCTCGTTACGGTCGGAATGAAGTGAGTCCATTACATGACGCTTGTTTCAATGTAAAAAAGGAACGATAAGATTGAAACATTTAACTGATTTTAAAATTTTCCTCGAACAAAGCTTTCGACTAACGAGTTTCTAGTAGAGGATCACCCTGCGTATACTCAAGATATAATTTGTTCCGTAGGCAATTCTCCAGCTTAAGTTTAAAATATTTAAAAATGGGTCTACTTACCACATCTAGGTACATCACAGAGCTCCCATCGGGGGGAAGTTCCCTCAGCATTATAACACCAGGGTCCTGCTTCACTGAAGAAAACATGTTATTTGAGGGATTCCCAAAGGCAACTTTATGGATCATTTCAGTTCGGTTCGGTGTTTTTGTAACTTTGTAAATTTCTTATTAATAAATATTTGGCACTTTGCCCCTACTTTCTTGTCAACTTCATAAAAATGATATGCTTCCCGTAGGAAGACTTACCCATCTGGATTCCTGCAGTAGTTATCGTCCAGTCCTGCATTAGGGTATCTGAAAAAATTGTTGTGATGAACTCTTACAAAACCTCGAATTAAATTTGAATTGTGTTCTTATCACTATATAATTACATGGTCTTACAAAGAAATTATTACTAAGTAATTCTTGTTAATAATTTTAGAGGGTTTTGAAGCCGTCATTTATCACAAAAAACACAATTCCCCTGTGCAAGGTCTAAAAAAGCAAAAAGCAAACTTACTTGGAATCAATCTTACCTCTCGGGAGTTCTGCTGTGTTCATTAGGTGATTGAGAGTCCCATCTCTGACAGACGTGTCCTGATACCGTGGCAGCAACATCTCCTTTGTACGATGAACCATTATCACCATCTTCTACACACACTGGGCCTAGAATTTAATCAATCATTCATTTAGAAAGTATTCTTTTAGAAAAGTTAGTAGTTAGTACTTTAGTACAGAACATTGGAACAGTATTTGTGTAGGCCATTAAATTTTTTGATTAACCTGTTTGTTTGTTTATAGAACCCGTCCCCAATCTCGTATAGGAAAATGACTAAACTTAATTCTGAGTGTGAATACGGGTGGTACCTTCTAATTTGATTGGGCTAATAGTAAGGTAAATTCTGAGCAGATAAACTTTTTATTGCATTAAAATCAATCTTGAAGGGCTAACCGGCCCTGTCAGTGTCCGAGCTTGTTAAAATTAAATCACTCTACACCCGATTTTTGAACCGCACCTACCCTTCGATATTTTGGACTCGAGGGTTTGCCTTTGTAATGCGATCTCGGAAGGCAGGCCTCTCCTTCGCAGTACGAGCTCGGAAGCGGGAGCTCTGCCTTCAAAGGTACGTATCGAGAACGACTCGGACAGACAATTTTCTAAGTCTAAATCTTTCAAAATTTTTCTGGAAACTACTTTTGTTCGTGTTTCATGCTACCCTGATCATTATGAGCCGAAAATAAGTTTTCGGTTTTCTGAAGTCCGTACCTACATTCGAAAAATCGTGTATCGAATGGTCGGCTTCGAAAAAATATTTATGGCTCATAATGATCAGGGTAACCTGAAATGTATTTAACAAAAGTTGTTTCCAGGATAACTTTGTAAATTTGTTGACTTAGAAAATGTTCGGTCCGAGTCATCTCGATACGTACCTCTGAAGGCAGGGCCCCGCTTCCGAGCTCGTTTTGCATAGGCCAGGGGAGGCATGCTTTCCGTGATTGAATCGCAAAGGGGATACCTCGATAGGTTATGAATATAGGCTCCTTATGAATATAGGCTCCTTCAAATTGTCCAAATTGTGTGTGAAAAACTCTCATAATGTTTGTCCGCCAATGTCCGCTTATGTCCCAAAACACACGTCCGTTGTCTCATAGAATCCGGACATGTCACCGGACATGTCACCCCCCCCCCCCCCCACCCATATAAAGTATTAGTTATGTAGTACATATACACGAAAATCATCCTAAACCTACTGCTAAAATAAAGTACGTTTATAAGTAAAAAAAGCTGCTGCTGTTAGGCCAGGAATTTCAAAATATTTAATAAAATATCACCTACCGTGGCAGTCTAAGATTATTGCTCCCGTCACATCGTAGAACCTCTCCGTACATTCCCCGCATTTATCAACTTCACATCGAGCATCGGGATTGTTGTGACACTGTGCTGTGAGACAAGGGTCCGAGATACAAGTCACTGCGGGAACATCCTCAGAACAGCCGTCACGTGGTTCACGGGTTTGAGCACCTGAGGTTGTGGTCTGTTTAAATCTCTGGTTTAATATTGCTGAATAAAGTTTTACAACATGTGTAGATTACACGTGGTACAATGCTGTATCCTTCAGAAATTAGATAAACTGTTTCACAATGAGTAAAGGAGGGCAGATAATGTACATCAACTTGGAACTGAGTCATCGGAACTAAATATTTTCAACAATAAATTAGTCCTGTCGGCATAAATTTAAAAACTGGAACTGCAACTTGTGCAGACTAATGTTATATCTTATATGTTATAAGTAGGTACTTGATGATTATAATTAGAAAAATTGCTTTTCCTGAAAAGTGGCCGAAATTGATTTTGATCTGAAACAGCTGTTTTACCTTTATCACTGTTCATAGATCCACTGGAAGCTAGACATGCAAATGTAATAACGACAGTCAATGTCGCGATGTTGAAGATGTTCATGGTAGATGTTCAGATCAACCTAATAATATAATATCAAGTTTATCATATATCGTTTGCTATAGGAATAATCGAGTATTATCTGGCCAGAAAGCCGCACAATGTTTTCAGTATAAAAGCTAAGTTTTGTGATATTATTTAGGTCTATTGGGATCTATAGATTAAAAAATTTGGGTAGACAAAAAGTTACGTGTGTTCAAAGTACGTGACCCCGTTCTTTTATATTAGACGGATATAATGACGTAAAATATGGACGCTCCGTAACAACCAAAGAGCAACTGATAAGAGATGATTATTCTGATTCTGATCGGTCTTAAATACAGTGTGATATAGGTTATCTCACTGCACTAAGGTATGATGATCTGCAATATAGTGTGGATCAACACCAGAGAAATTTGGTGTCCTTTTACTCAAAATTTACACCATCTAGACTCTCAAAATGGAATCACTACTACTCAACACACATATTCCACCAAAAATAGCATACATTTAGAAAATATTGCTATGATTTGACGGCAAGATTCTATTCCATCTCTATGTTTCATCAAAGGATGACTTTGGCGCTCTGGTCGGAATATCTAATAAAATATTTGGTATCGAGGTAAACGATTCATTAAGTCAATAGTCAATAAGTCAATATTTTCTTTTTTTAAAACATAAAAAATATGTATCCAAACCCAATATGATAACGTAAAATGTTCATAATAACTAATAAGCCTAGTGACATCTCTATGATACAGTAAAACCTCTCAGGGAAACGATACACGGCAGGGGTGTACTGTGTAGGAATGATTTTCTTCATGAGGGGGCCAAAATCTTAGAGTTTTTCAAATTTAGCACGCGCTTTGGCTACAGCCTGAATTTCAAAAACAGCAAAACGTGTAAAAGGCCTAGCTGAGCAATTTGGTAATAGAGATCATTTTCAAACACAGTTTCAAGAACGATTAAAATAATACGATTTTAAATGCATTATGGGGGCCTGCAAGCAGCTCTTGCGAAATAAGTGTAGTTCGAAAAAGGGATGCATATTGCATTCTCTCGAAAAGAATTTCAGGAAATTTGCTTCCAGAATTGAAATCTAGCAATGTGAAATGATAAATCCAGAAAGATTTTGTTGTGCCTATTTATTTTTAATTAAGGGTCAAAGGAAAAGTCCTGCAAATTTTGAAAAATATTGTTACAGTAATAGGTCTCACTCTCAAAGGTACAACATGCAAGGAGGGAGAAATTGGAACAATTCTTGGAAAATTTGTTTTAAGGAATGAATTCTAGCAATGAGGTAATGTAAATTTGGACTATAAGGGGCAAACTGTGTCCTGCTAATTTACTCCCACGGCATAAAAGAGTAATCAGTAATGTCATATCGTTTTTAGCTCATATCGTTTTTAGCCATATCGTTTTTAGCTCATATCGTTTTTAGCTTGTTATCAGCAGTCGTTATCTGCAAGTGTTACACGCCACGCTAACCTGATGGATTTCTCTGTGGACTTACTACACACAGTGGAAAAGGATATGAAATCGGAGATTGGAAAGCTCATGAAAGCCGTGAATGTCTCGTCCTTCTCTGATATCAACCAGGGTGTTCTACAAAAACTGCTTAAGGGTCCGCTTGTAAATTTCCTCAGCAGCATAGTAAATTTAATGGACAGCAATATGAAGCTATGCAGGTCTGCAGCCAGCAAGATAGATCAGATGAAAACAGAACAGATAGACATGCAAAAGCAGCTGATAAACAGACAGCAGAATCAGATCGAATCGGTGCAGAAAACTGTAAAAAATGAAATGAAAAGTTGGGCAGATGTCGTCAAGAAGAACAGCGCCCAAAACAATCAGCTGACAACAAAAACTGTGAAAGAAGCCGTGCGATCAGTGAATAAAGAAGAAGAAAGATCGAGAAACTTGATTATCTACGGTTTGAAGGAGACGGAAGAAGGGGAGTGGGAGGACGTATTAGAGATGGACCCTCTCCCGGACTTTTTCAAGTCAGTTTTTGCTGAGGCCGGCTGTCATTTTCCTGACACGGATGAGATATGCAGGATTGGGAAGAAAGTTCCTGAGAAAACGCGACCAGTCAAAGTTCAGTTACAAAGCTCTAGCGATGTGGACATTATACTAAGGAACGCACACAAACTTAAAACAAATGATGATTTTAAGTCAGTTTATCTTGCACCGGATAGGACAAGGGAGCAGAGAATACTACACAGTGGACTTGTCAAACAGATGAAAGAACTAATAAAGCAGGACAATAGCAAGCGTTATTTTATCAGAGACAATAAAGTTAATTGTGTTAGTGAGAGCTAGAGCCTTATCTACAAGTACACTGACTTGTTATCAGAATTTATGAACTTTAGTATGTTATGTTCACTTTCGTTATCTACGTGGTGATACAGTGTAGTTTTTACATAGTATGTATTTTAATTTGGTGTAAGTGGTGGCCGTTGTATTCTATAAGTATAAACCGTTTTTAACGAGTTTTTTTACGATGCAGTATTTTGTGAGGAGATTTAGGCAGCATGAACTGTGGCTCATATTTTATTATTTAAGCTGCTCTACGAGCACACACGCTAGCTAGTTGGTTTTTAGATAGTTAAGAGTATTAGTGACTTAGTTAGTTAGTGTAAATTAGTATCAGTCAGGATCTGTTAGCACACAGAACTGTTAGTTTTCGCGAAGCAGGTCTGACTTTCATATTATATATTCTTATAGTAGACTTCATCATATAAATTTATTTTGAACTTAGTAACAATTTCAGGGAATAAATAGAAATTTAAGATTTCATTTCTATTCTAATATTCACGTATATTAAATACAATTATATTGTTATGTATCATATGATTTTGTAAACATTGGCCGGTGTACCAAAAACCGGTCCCCAAACAAACAAATTATCTGAATTTTATAATCGCTAGGCTTCTGAACTTCTGATGAATCCTGACATGTAATATGTTTTGTTTTAAATACCTTAAATTCACGCACCAAAACTTTAAATTTTATCAAATTACAAATGTCCTAATATATACGTCTCTTATTAAGTTAAAATGTCAGGGGTGCAGCTGTTGTACTTCAGTTAAAATAATTGATCACGCCGTATCACGATGTTATTTTATCAAAATCAGCTACCCGTTTAATATCAGAATATGTACCTAATATAAATTAACAGATTTCTGGTTCATTGAAAGATTCTGGTATTGAAAATACTGAACACGGCATAGAAGAGTAACCAGCAATGTTATCTGAATTTTATAATCGCTAGGTTCCTGAACTTCTGATGAATCCTGACATGTAATATCGGAATATAATGTAATATAAATTATCAGATTTCTGGTTCATGCCAGCTCACAGCTGGATTGTATTCTGCTTGATTTAAAAATCCGTGCCTCTATTCCCCTTGCTGAATCCACGCCAAGTGGCACAGTGTGTTTAGATAGACGGGCCACATGGCGGGAGCTCTAAACACACTGTGCCTTTCGACCCACGCCATGTGGCCCGTCGCCACATGGCGTAGTGTGGGGCAGACCCTAAAGCACAGTAAAGTAGCGCGCGCCGGGTCAGCCCATTAACAATTAGCAAACTATAGTTAAAATTGTGACTGTGTATGGTGTAATGTCTAATCAAGTCTTGTGGCCACTTTTATATTCTTTTACCATTTACCGTTACGTCACAGGGCGTGATTAAGGAACTGAAATTTTTTATTTCAAGCATTTCTGTGGGAATGCTGATGCTCTACTCAGCAAAAGTTTTGGATTTTGCATATGCCATATAGGGTCGTTCACATTAATTACGTAATCAATATTTTAGCAATTTTTACCCCCCAAATTGTCAAATTGCTATTATTCTAGAGGGTGAAAAAGAAAATTTTGTAGAAGATTGTAAGATTCAGGGAAAATAACAGCATCTTAACCCCATGGCTAACACTGTATTTAATGATTGAAATCAACGAAATAATTTTAAATTCTTGAAATCATAATACAGCAGCTTAGTTTACCGGTTAGATTTCGAAAATGATAAAAGTGGGGGTTCTCTATACTTTTTTACACCATACATAAAAAAGGCAAAAGTTAGTGTAAAAAGTTAGTGTAAAATAGTAGATAAAATAGTGTAATTCAGTGACTTTTTTGTCTCACAGAGTCACTACACAGCTCAGACTAGAGGGTATGTTTTACCCTTGTTTTGCCTTTGGAAATGCACAATGTGGAAACTTATCGGAAAATAATAGAGAAAAAGAAGATTTCGAGAAGATAAATGTAAAAAAGTGTAGTGAAGTGTAGTAACACTCAATGATACCCGATAGCGGCTGTTCTCAATATATTAAAGAAATACCAGAAATTTCATTTTGGTATATATACCACGAAAATATATATATTTTCGTGTTACTCGGTTTGTCAATAGCAAACTATTTTTGCAATTAATCACTCATTCCCTCAGCTTTGGTCTCCCTCTGATTCTTAAAAACTCTTTTTAATACCTCCATGTTGCTAAGTTAAAACTATATCTCCAGGGAAGCAGACACACGCCAAGTCAGCAGCTAGTATCCAGAACCAAGTGTATGATATTCTCATGTTCTTCTCTGGTTCTACCGACGAGGAAATCAGACATCGTGCCATCTCCGGTCTTGGTTTCTTTTTTATTCGCTACGAGAGAATGATGCTACGAGAGGCATCTCGAACTGTCTACATTGATATTCTCAAAGGATTTGATTCTCCTGTGAAATTAAAATGTCAAGTTTTGAAGAACCTCCAACTTCATTTACTGTCAGACGAGAAAAGACTCACAAGTCAGAATCAGCAAATGAGAAAGGATTTAAAACGAGAGGGGATAACTGATCTTAAAACTTACGGCGACGAAAAGTCGTCAGTGTCAGGTGCTGTCGCGCAAATGTTGCTCGATCCCATCCATCATTGTTTCTTCCACAAACTCACCCAAGTTCGTTCCGCCGCGGTGCAGGTTATTTGCCTCGTTTTGCACCAAGGTCTCCTCCACCCTATATCCTGTATCCAATACCTAATCGCCATTTGCTCGGACATTGACGAAGTTAGCCGTATCAAAGCTGAACAAACTCTAATCGAACTGGACAGCAAATATCCCCTATTCCTTCACAGTCAGTTTTTCCCGGGCCTCCGCGAGAGTTTCAAGTTGCAAACAGCACTGTTCAGCACATATCCCGTGAGAGGATTCCGAAACAATCCGCCCATATCCCTGCTCTCCCACGTGTACGCGCTGATCAGGAGCTCTAAGGGTCACAGACATTCTCAGCTCAAAACCATGATCAAACAGTTCGACGAGATCAAGAGAACAGACATCAACCTGTTGTTGTATATCGCAGACAACCTGGCTCACATGTCATATCAGATAATTGAGGAACCACTGTTTGTGATCCATCACGTGGCTCTGTTGATATCCACATCCGGAACCACGTACTTGGAACAGGCTAAAGATGCTGTGTACGGTAGGGACATCGCGGAGACTATCAAGGACGAGGACGAGGAGGAAATCGATGAGATTGGTTGGTGAAATTGTCAGAATTTTCGATTAGATATTTCTAAATTACAACTCTTGAAATTTTAAAATGTAAATTTAATCAGTTTTGCTTTTAAACTGACCCGTCACCTGACCCTTTTCTTCTCAGATCAAGTAGAAGATTTACCGAGACTGACCGAGGTCCTGGTATCATGTCAATCTTGTACGCTCCTAATTCTACTCAAGAAGCACCTCATGACTCAATACAACCTCACAGGTAAATTTGGATTATCTCATCAGACTCGATAGTTCATATAAATAAATAAACAAATTCCACAGTCTCAAAATTCGGTGATTTTAAAGACTCTGGTGATAAAATACATATCTTATTTCAAGAATTCAATTTAACATTACCATTTCTGACAGACAAGAGATGCCACGAGTTCTCTCCGCTGGAGTCTACGAAAATCTACGACAAGCAGATAACGCGGCATTCCAACGCAGCCTACGACCCATCTCCAGTGCTGAGTGCTATTCAGCAGCTCACCCTGGATGTGGATTTTGAGAGTGAGGAATTTGAGAAGAGCGCTCTACAGTACTACAAAGAGGTAGGGATCAGTTTTTTAGATCTAGGCTTGCGCTTATCCGGATTTATTTTTATGAGTACGATTATGATGGTCATGATCGAACCACGGTAAAACCATGATTTACCGCGGCCATATCCTTTCCCCCAAATAGGTCTTAACATTAATAATGTGAACAGACAAAACCTGATATGCCGTATTTATCAGAATTTTACTGACACTGTACTTGGTAGTAAGCTACAACGTTGTTTTAATATCAAGTTAATAAACAACAGAGTAGATTCCTTGTTATATCGAAAGATAATAAAACTCCTGAATAATATGTGAATAATATGTGAATAATATGTGACACCCTCCACTCACTCAGTTCCGTGATCTGATGACACAGCAGGACTTGTCTGAGTTTAAAGGTAGTGATAGTGAAGGTGATGGTGCTGGTGCTGATAAGTCTCTCAAATATGTGAGTGTTACTTGTTTTATTTATTTATAATTAGGTAATTAAAAATAATTGTTTATAATTCGTCATCATTTGATATTTTATCTTATTAGTTTTTTGCTATTTCTAAAAATATTGTTTTAGAATTATAACACCAGATCAAAACAATTCACCATAAAAATAATTCCCCATTTTTCACCATTAAATTTCACCATTAAATTTCACCATTAAATTTCACCATTAAATTATTGATGTCTAGTCAGCCCATGTAACAAATATTGTTAGTGCAGTCATTATTTTTCTTACGTGGCAATTTTGCAATCCGGGAGGGGCTCAACTGATCACATCTCGAAGTACGCTACGGTTTTTGTGATCTACTATGATCAAATTCTGTTTTAATGCTATGGCTGGAATGATGGTATAATTTCCACTTGAGTAGCTGAATCCTTTTAACTTCCTGGGCTCCGATTTCTGAGTTCTGACACTACAATTATTAACAGCTTCATACCTACTCACGGCACATATTTTCAGTGATTTTATCATGCCATGGCTTAAGTTACAAAATATTCTGAAGATATTGGGAAATGAAGTTACACGTACATCTGATGAAGATAACACTATACAATATAATTTACACCCTTTCGTTACCGCGTGGTAGCGATTTATGCTGTTAAAAAACACTCATACGCCCATTTAATTGCAATATTGTCACACACTGGTTACTGTAATAACTTAATAAGGGATCACTTATCAAGTCAATAAAGTCAATCTAACGGAAATGGGGGGGGGGGGGGGGGGGGGTTAAGCCAGCAGTTTAGCAGGGTTCAGCAGGGTCATCTATGAAAACCACCCTTTTTCTTTTACTTCGGACAACCATGGCCGGCACCAGCACTAACAGCAAACCGAAGGATCGATAACTTAGGCCAGCGACGGTTAAGGTATTATACCACACTTTTTTCGCCCGTGGCTCCGCTGTATAATAGATCATGTACAGCTCCTCATTTAACCCTCACACACGATTTCTCGAGCATTCGGCTGAGTAGACCGGGGGCTGCATAGGTCCATCGGAACCTTTAGCAGAACGGCAACGCCGCTCACCCCATGGCTAGTGGTACAGGTGAGGATCGAACCTGCAACCTCGTGATTGAGCAGCATATCACGAGTAAGGCAGGTCGACTAACTATCTGCGCCACTAAGCTATTTTATTTTATAATTATATACATTCTCTTTCAGTATGAAAGACGGAAGGAGCTCCCCGTCAAAGTCCGAAAAGAACGAAAACCCCGCGCTTCAAAAACCCCCAAAAAGGATCCCAAGAAACGGAAACTTTCAAAAACTCCCGCCAAAAAATCAGCTAAGAAACGACGACGATACGTTATAAACTCAGATTCAGAGTTCAGCGAGCAAGACAATGAGAGCGATGCGGATTACAACGGTACGTGACGTCACCACTCAGACCAGTGACGTCATACGACTGTCATGTGACGTCATACGACTGTCACGTGACGTCATGATGAAGATCCGAACAAGTTCATATAATGTCGTGGTTAATGGTTATGCCAGTGAACTACATGTAACAGATTCATTATTATTTTCCGTACATCCAGTATCAATTTGATGATCGAAGTTTTGTGTACTGTAATAATTTCGAATGGCCTCCCTGAGTGTGTTGTGTTTTAAGTTATTTAATTTCAAGGCTTTTTTTGAACAGTTATTATATTATAGTCATTAATAAGTGTTATTATGCAAGTTAAATGTTCGTAAACTTATTTATACATCACGAATCTTTATACAGCGCATTTTACCTGCAATCAGTTGAATCTTGGTCATACAATTATTTGATATGTAGCACAAATTTCGAGTTGCTTTTGTGGTCTCCTTGTACAAGGCTTCATAATGCGAATGAACATTCATTTTCTGAGTTCATTTTAGAGGACTAGATTAAGTTTTATACATATTCATTTCACAAAAATGGTTTTGCTTGTAATTTTTAAACAATCAGCACTGGCTCGAAATGCCAGGACATGTTCTGTTAAAAAAGATAGTATGTTGCCGGCGAAAAATTGCTTGATTTTCGTCTTGAATTTCAAATTGAACTGTTGTATATTTTAAATATAATCTTAAATCCTGTAAAGTATTAATTTGATAAACACTGTTATTTAACCAACTTGTGTAATTTTCTCTAGGTCATGATCTGCCCATTTCTTTGAAATTCAACCTGGTTGTTCTAAAAAAACTGGGGGGGGGGGGGGGGGGGGGGGGGGCAACCGTATTAAAGTATATTAAAGTATATCCCCGGGTCAAAATCGGAAAAAATCCTACATTTTAATATACTTTAATATACCTACAATTAGATGATTTATATTCTTCGTTAAGATTTACATGATGAACTATATTTTTCACTCAGATTCGCAAGATAAGCCTGTTTTAGGACTAGTACATGAATTTCCATCCAGATTGGTCAAAAATTGGCTGAACTATGAGCTTAAAAAATATGCCCATATTTGGGCATACGCTTTTGCCCAAATTCGCTTTTGCCCAAATTCGATAAAATTTCAATATTTTTTAATGAGACTAACTCTATGTGAAAGATATAACTCAGTGTTTGTTGAATATAGTGGATACTAAGTAAAAAGACCTCCATGAACAAAATCGGGAAAATTGCACGTAATATCTCGGTTCGGAATACTAGCCAAAATGACTTCTATTCATTAAAATAGAAATAACTCCATCAGTTTTCAATATTTTTTCAAGAACTTTTTGGAATCGATTAAGAATTGCATTTCAAGCTTATTTTGGGCAACAATTTTTTTCCCTACTCTTGCCGAAGGCAAAAAGATCGTAGGGAATAAGTAATCGGGTTTGGATATATGAAGTGGCCCGATGGACCTGCGATGATGACAAAAGTCTGCTCCTTCGCAATATAGACCACTCCCCTATAATTAAGTGTATAGGAAGTGTCATTTATGCTGCGCGCGACGCTAGCCATGTGTTAATCAATTACAGTGAAATTCATCCTTCGCAAAGTTATTTTCCGCAATTTTCTGGATTTATGTATTGTTGATGCGCGGCGCTACATAAGTCAAATAAATTGTCAATTTCTACCATTAACGAATCTCACTAATTTATAAGAAACATAGTATGTAAATATGTTGCACTTTTTTCCAGTCACACTTTTCACTCAAAAGAATTAATGGTACATACATCCAACATCGTAGGGAAAATTGATCGTGCGTGGTTTAACCGCAGCGAAATTCTTGTTGATGTAGGCCTCCAAGGAGATAGGGATATATTAAAGTATATTAAAGTATATTAAAGTATATCCCCGGGTCAAAATCGGGAAAAATCCTACATTTTAATATACTTTAATATGGTTGGCCCCTCCCCCCCCCAAACTGAATATATTTACCTGATTAATGCGAGAAGCTTATTTTATGTCTATCATTATTATTTGATTTGTTAGGAGACATAGCAATTCCCTACTAATACACACTCATATTGTAGGGAAGGTCAATGTGAACTACTTGGCAACGTTGTTTCGTTTATGGGCGATAAAGGTAAGATCTGTTTAATTGCTTATTTAATTAATTGATCAAAACTCGGCCGTTTGCTATTCTTTAGCCGTGACTATTTTATTTCTTCTAAAGCAAACATCGTCTGGGATTAAATATCAAACTCTAACATCTTTTTCTTTTTTTCTATTCCTTTTCTTCTAACATCTTGATAGTCGGATTTATCATTAAATCACTTTATTTTCAGCTTCGCAACGAATGAAACTCTTAGAGGATTTACACAACAAGAAAATGCAACTACAAAGTAAAGTAGATAACCCTAGTAATGGTAAGTATCTAAAATTCCCTGGGGGAGGGGGGGCTTCCCTTCTTATTAGACCAATTACTCTTCGGTTGGCCCCGTTCTACTGTAGTAGTTGTTTCATCGATATCTGAACCAATATCTCTCGAGTCAGTTTGTAAACTTCGTCTTAATTCGAGGATAATTTGTTATCTCCGGTACAGGCGCCCCTGTAATCCAGAAAATGGAGGAACCATTGGAGCGGACTCCTGCTGAGTCGAACAGACTACACACTGGCAAACAAGTCGCTTTGCAGGTTAGAAATGGTCATCCTTATCAAAAACTAGTTAAATTGTTTATAAAAAACTAGTTAAAATGTTTATATAAACAACTAGTTAAATTGTTTATAAACAACTAGTTAAATTGTTTATAAACAACTAGTTAAATTGTTCATAAACAACTAGTTAAATTGTTTATAAAAAAACTAGTTAAATTGTTTATAAAAAAACTAGTTAAATTGTTTATAAACAACTAGTTAAATTGTTTATAAACAACTAGTTAAATTGTTCATAAAAAAACTAGTTAAATTGTTTATAAAAAAACTAGTTAAATTCTCATTGTTCGTCATACTCACTACTCATTATAGTTTTGTGCCACGTTTATCTGGTATCTACTGACCACACCCGGACAACACGACACACGTACACCCGGACCACACGTACACGCCGGACTTGTCATGATTTCGCTATGTTTTGATTATTAATGCCCTGTTTTTCAGCAAAGCAACACCCAATCGGATGGATTTTTCATAACTCAAGACAGTAACTTTGGTAATCTCATCATGTCAGTTATTCCACGATTTAACCCTGACGGAACTCTAGCTGCCGGAAATAAACCAAGGACGTTATGAATTTTTAGATTTTCAAAATTTAGCAAATTCTTTAAATTTTATCAGAGCTTGGGAGAATTGTCAGATTTCCAGCGTGATTGGATTCGGTGTGATTGATATTATTGAAATGCGACCAAAATATTGCATTGTTCGCGTTGGGAAATTTCAACTTAATGATCATCAATTAATGTGCATAAATGATAAATTTGATGAAGAGTTTATATGTTTTTTAGCTCTTTTGTCAGTAGTTCAGAACAATTTAGATACCGGGATAAAATTTCGATTTCGTAAATATTTTAAAATATTTGAGGCGGATCCACGATTTACAAAGTCGTGAAATGAATTCCAATCATTTTTCAAATTATCAGACGCTTTGTTGAGAAATAATGCTAGGTCTGTTTTTATGGAAATTTAGCAAATCTTTAACTTTATTTCTATTATTTCTACTAATGCAATGTTGGCAACGTCCATACCATTACACTTAAATTTTGAGGGATACTTTTACTACTACTAATTTTACTGATAGTCCGGTTATAGACATTATCTCGTCCACAATTGTGAAAACTTCAGTTATCTTAAATAATTTAAATGATAATATATGTTGCAGTGCTACCTAGCCTGAGTTTAAAATAAGAGTTGTATCAACCCATTGTATTCATTCATTTGTTTTTATATTAAACCTTGAATTTCGCATATTTTTTTGTCACTTATACACGATTGTAATTATTTTATTAGCATTAAATTAGGATAAGTATTTAGGAGATATAATTCGAATCGGAATACACTGGAGTGGATTTCCATCCGTCGGCCCACCAGATTTTGTCACGGTAATTTTATCAACTGCAATAATCTGGAAAAGGGCAAGAGCTGCCTAAAGTTGACAGCAAGCAATGCTTTCTCACCGCTGGGAATTTCCGCAAAGTCCCCCAAAACCTAAACTTTTCACATATGAGGTCGTTCACACTTCACATATTACGTAATCAGCTGAGGGGTGGGGGGAATGGCCGCGGGGTTTCCGAATGATTACGCTAGTGTAATTTTGACACAATAGCATTGTGTACAACTGATTACTGACGGGGGGGGGGGGGGGGTAAAAATGTTCCAAAAAATGATTACGTAATATGTGAACGACCCCATATTGAACTTGTCACGTTGAAAGTTGAACGTGTTAATGTTGAGTGCCCGATTTTGTCGATAGATTTTAAACTTCTTATTAGCTGATTAATTAGGAGAGGTACAGTGTACACTCTAAAATGTACACTCTAAAATGCGAGGGCTTTAAAACGTTACAACCTCACCGCTAAATGCCATGATCATGCATTATAATTCTTTGTCTCGGTGAATATGATATGCAAGGCCCAATATAAAAATAAGCAAAAATAACTGGGATCTATTGCATCCCATTTCCCAATCAGTGGCCCACATTCTGTGCACGTGGTATATACAGGCCAATCAGTGGCCCACATTTGTGCACGTGGTATATACAGGCCAATCAGCGGCCCACATTCTGTGCACGTGGTATATACAGGCCAATCAGTGGCCCACATTCTGTGCACGTGGTATATACAGGCCAATCAGTGGCCCACATTCTGTGCACGTGGTATATACAGGCCAATCAGTGGCCCACATTCTGTGCACGTGGTATATACAGGCCAATCAGTGGCCCACATTCTGTGCACGTGGTATATACAGGCCAATCAGTGGCCCACATTCTGTGCACGTGGTATATACAGGCAATTCAGGGAGCTCCGTGTTAACTTTTCTTCATGATGTTTCACACATGGGCGTGTACACACACAGAATTCAGTTTAGTTTTACACTACAATTTGTTATAGTGTTTCTTCGCTATTTGCTTTCCACCTTGTACGTTATATAATATTGTCAGTTAATACTAAAGTGTCGTATAATTTTAAGACAAAAGGCTCTACTGTCCACACGCTGTATTGTTTCTACGTTAAAACTACACTCACTATACATTGTGAGTACTTTTACACGCCCTGTACGGCATAATTATAGTATATTTTATGTTCTAGTGTTTTAAGTGTAACAATACTGAAAAGGAACCACCAGCTAGGAAGAGAAATAGTTTGCTATTAGCCTTTAGTTTAACGTTGTCTTGTTGTCTTGTTTGTGAAACCTTCTCTACAAACTGTACTGTGATCCTGTCATTAACTGAATTCAACACTAATCACCCAGTTAACCATTAACAAAGTAATATTAGTAGCTTGTCGGGCCTATGACACGTAACGTATGTGCCCTCTTACTTCAATAGTATCATGTTACCAATTACATTCCCTCTAACTTTGTTACTCTCCACTTGTTGTAGGTTTTAAGATTGTCCATAATACACTTATGAACCGTGTAACTGTGATGTTTCTTGTTGTTACAACTTGTTCGATGCTCAATTTTCTGTCATATTTTCGTCAGAACTTTTGGTTACAACTACAAGTTGTGAAGTTAGTAGTTACAGTACTTACCTGACAATGATCAAAACGAATCATATCATTGCACAAAAGGAGCTATATTTACAGGCACAACCTCGCTCAATCCGCATTGCACCTTGATAAATGATATACAAATTACAAAGTATCTTTCATTCCAACTACCAATAGCGCTGCTGTGATGGAAGAAGAAATACCACTGTATCTCCAACTGATAGGATACAGCCTTGCTGTGACCGGCTCCACTGCTTTCATACCCCAGATACTCAAGGTATGGAGGTCCAAAAGTGGAGAGGGCCTCAACTTCTCCATGTTCACCATATTGGACTTCGTTACCAGTCTCATCTCAGCCTTCTGCATCAAGTCTGGTGGGTAGGAAAATGTGCAACTTTTAAAGGGAGTTTGTTAAAGTAAACCCGTATTAATCAATTAACACGAATGTGTTTTATCGTCATTTACTGTTTACAGTTTACCGATATGGATTATTTTATACTAAATCATCGTGTATCGAGAACAGCAGAAAAGGACTAAATTAAGTATTTCATATAAAACACACCCCTCAATCTGACCCTAACATAATATTCCAGGTCTACAGTATAGCACGTGGCTAGAGCTGCTCGTAACAAACATCCAAGTCTTCATAATCCACCTCATGGCCCGTTACTACCTGAATCAAACAAAGAAAATAACCACCCTTATAATCTGCAAATGCATCCTGGTTACCGGTCTCGCTCTCCTTCCCCTCCCCTACATAAAGTTGGGGATGAACTGTCTCCTACCTATGATGGTCTACAACAAGACAGGCTATGGCCTACAAACACTATAAGGATAAGTCGCTGGGTCAGATGGCCGGGGCCACCCTCTACATGCAGTACTTCCAGTTCTCCGGCAGGATCTTCACTGTGTTGATGACGGGGTCCACAGCCTTCCTTCCTCCCATGCTCCTGAACTGGATTTATCAGTCTGTGTTTGTAGCGCAGTATTTGTGGTACAAAAAGGATGGCACAAAGGAGGAGGAAGAAAAGAAGAAAGAGTAATTAGTCTAATTACTCTAATTAGTAATTAGTAATTAGGAGATCAAGAGTTTTCCGATGAACAATTGCATATGATTATGTTAAATGTACATATTCGTTTAATTTATTATAGACGATATTTTAACGATAGCAGATAGAGTTTGTAATGATTAGTTGTTTTTGTTTACAGTTATCAAGAATGAGATTTAAATTTGAAGTTAAGGAATTAAAATAATGATTTAAAAAATCTTGTGAAAAGGCCTTGAGTGTATCAGTATGACTATGTAATGAAAGTGATCTCATACGATGTATTTTTGGACGCTGATTCCGAATCACCCCCATACCATGACTATAAGGGTCATGGTATATAAGGGTAACAAAGGGTTATCCTAATTCTAACCCGGTTAGGGTTGTGATTAAGGTTATGGATATGGGATGGCTTCGGGGTTACTGTTAGGGTTAGGGTTAATGGGATTAGAATTTACATAAACACCCCGGCACGCAGCGTTGTGACCTCCCTTCGTCATAATTAGCTCTTATACAGATTGAAAATTGAAAAATTTTGAAGTCAAATAATTTTTTTTGTTTTAGATTTGAATAAATAATATGGACACAGTTCGAAAGTAATTTGTCTACTAAATAATATTCTGAAATAATGAACAAAATTGGTTAAAATTTGCATAAGTAATCGAGCGTACTAAATCACTCTACAGTCGATCTTCGAGATTGTTCTAAAAAGGCCCCCGACAGTTGAAACCAACTTCAATCGATGTATTTTCGGATTTTTTACTTGGGGACCCCAGGCTATTATGTTCATAAACATAAATAAAGATTCGGCGGAATGACAGGCTGAGCGCCGCCCAGTAAGGTGTAATTGGTTCTGAACGATCACCTGAATGCTAGTCACTTGCGCTTATGGGCCTGAGATAGCCGAGAAGCTGCAAAAGGGGGGGGGGGGGGGGGTGGTTGATGGCGAGTTATGCTTTGTCAAAGTGGATGCTTTTAAAAATGAAACCGAAAGTCTTTAAACTGCTCGTTGTATTGGTTAGGGTGGATGGTTTTTTTAACGTTTTTATGGAATTGGTACCGTTGTAAAGCTTACATTATGACAGTTCAGATGGCGAAAGTTTTATCGAAAATGGACCTGACATTGTTTTGGAAATAACAATAATATCAAATGAGTTTACAATAATATCCATGACCAATTTAACCATATTAAGAAATACGGTCGGTGATCCAGTATTGAGCATATTATGTGCAACTGTGTGAGTTCAGTATTCTAATTGCCCCCTTCGAGCAGCTAAGGTGCGTCTCACTTGCAGTCATGTGACCGAGATCACGTGATAACACCTTTAACTAACTTATAGCCCTGAGGATCAATTGGTACAATGTGTATTGAGGTAAATTGGTCGGGGTATGTTTTATTATATATAATATCAGTATTTACACTGAAACATTCAATAGCTCTCCTTAGCTGTTGGAACAGTGAAAGACCAAAATATTAGATGTTAACCCTGAGCAAATTGTAGCTTGTAGTTGTACATTTAATATAATCAATAATACTACATACTACCTTGTCGGACTTTATTTAAACGGACTTTAGTTCATAGTTGGGTGCTAAAAGCCCAAGTTTACAATTTACCGCAGAAATTTAGCTCGTACCGTTTTAAAACCAGATCTCGGAGAAAGGTTTACCTTAGATTATTTTAAACCTAATTCTCGGGCAGACGTTTTACAATCTCCGAACAGTGTGACTATAATTATATTATATACAATCTCCGAACAGTCTGACTGTATTGTGTACAATCTCCGTACAGTGTGACTATATTGGGTACAATCTCCGAACAGTGTGACTATATTGTGTACAATCTCCGTACAGTGCGACTATATTGTGTACAATCTCCGTACAGTGCGAATGTATTGTGTACAATCTCCGAACAGTGCGACTATATTATGTACAAAATCCGAACAGTGTGACTGTATTGTTTACAATCTCTGAACAGTGCGACTATATTGAGTACAATCTCCGAACAGTGTGACTATATTGTGTACAATCTCCGTACAGTGCGACTATATTGTGTACAATCTCCGAACAGTGCGACTATATTGTGAACAATCTCTGAACAGTGTGACTATATTGTGAACAATCTCCGAACAGTGCGACTATATTGTGTACAATCTCCGAACAGTGTGACTATATTGTGTACAATCTCCGAACAGTGTGACTGTATT